TATGTCCCTCCCCCACGATATAACCCCTGCTTTCACTGTATTTGATGTTGTTATAATTTGTGGAGGAGAAGGGAAAAAACAAATCGTTTAAATATGGATACAGGTGGACCCATTGTAACAATGAGATGTACAAGTCTTTATGTTGAAAACAAACTTTACAACTTAGGTGGGGGCTGGGAGGGTTGGATGGGGAGGTGGAAGTGGATGGGATGGGAAGGGGAAACAAAGGAGGAGGCTACAGTGCTTGATAAGAAATGTACTCATTATCTTGCCCATGTAATTGTAACCCCTCTGTACAGTATTTTCACAATAAAAAATTTTTTTAAAAAAGTTGGAGACATGATACTTCAATATGTGTTTAAGACTTCTCACACAGAGCCATAAAATGAGTTCTAGAATCAGGAAATTAGAATCAACATGATACTATTATTTGATCTATTCAGATCTCACTATTTCATAGCTTAATTTTTAGCCTCTTAAAAGGAAATCCAAGAAGTAGTGGATTTAGCTTATGCTTCTTTTTTAGCTGGAACAGTTCAACTGTTTTCTTTCATGCATTTCATAATATTGACATTTTTAAAAGTGAAGGCCGGAAGGTTTTGTATATAGCTCCTCAGTTTAAATGCATCTGACATTTTCTCACATCTAGATGATATACCTAAAACTGAGCTATTCTCAGTGCATTATAGGTGAAAGGATCCATCACATCTATCCCAGGGGACCACGCGGAGACAGGCAGGCACAGGAGAAAGATTATTACAAGGTTTATTAAAGGACCCATATTTCTCCCGGAGAGAGAGCACATGGCATCCTCCACTATCTAGGTAGCAGCAGGGTCTGGGGGTAGGAAGTGAGGTAGTGGGAGCTCAGGTGGGTCTAGGCGAGAGAGGGAGGGGCCAGATATGGGGCTGGAACTCCGGGGAGGAGCTCAGATCTGGGTGGAGCTGAGGACCGAAGGTGGGCATAACGTTTACAATAGAGAGCCAGATGTTTTCAATTGCCCCATTGTTGGCAGTGTGTTAGTTATGTGGTTATTCCTGTACTGTAAAGTAATTATTTCACTCTTTATAATAATAGTACCCTGCAGATAAACACTTTGAGATTTCATCAATATTCTTTTCAACTTTCATTCCCCATTGACTATTTTTAGTGGCACTAGGTATTGAACTCAGAGCCTTATGAGTACAAGGCAGGTGCCATATGACTTAAGTCAGGCTCATACCATTACTGATTCTCACCTGAATCACTTATTATCATAGTAATTAGTTTCCCCTTCCTCTACTTTTTCTTCCTTCCAGTACTCCAGGCTAATGATTAGGTTTTCCTCCCTCAGTTGGTTAATCCAGATGCCATATGTCTCTAGAAAGATCCTTACAGAGACATCAAAAATCATCTCTCAACCTAGTCAAGTTTAAAACTAAAATTTACCATCAAAATGCATACAATGTATTTGTAGATATGCTAATTTCTCTATAATGATTGTATAAATTTAGTAATTTATCTGTTTGGTTTGGGGTTTGTTTATTTTTACCAAAGGCCTTGGCTTTTTTGTTTAAGTCTGGCACTCTACCACCTGAGCCACACTTCCATTTCTGGCTTTTTGCTGGTTGATTGGACAGAAGACTCATTTAGATTTGTCTGCCCACACTGGCTTCAAACTTGATTCTCAAATCTCAGCCTCTTGGTGTGTGAGCCACTGCCACTTAGCTGATAGGTCTTATTATGAATAAGGCTGTACATATTATCTTAATCTTAAGAGCAACTTCCTTATTCCTTTTGTATAATGGTTATGTTTTGACTATTTTTAATAATCATTTTTAATATTTTAATACAGCTTTTGAGTTCTAAAATAATTTTTAAATATGTATGTGTTGGTACTTCTAAGTGCCAAACACCGTCCTAACCACTGTGGATATATAATGCAAAAAGTTTATTCATTACTGTATGTGAAATTGAAGATACAAATAAGTTTTAAGTCCTTGGGTAATGACTGTTCTACAAGGTTGAATTAATACCCCTGAAATCCAAAGTCTCTATAGTGTCACTCACACTTATCCAAATACATTTAAGTGAGGATCCACTTAGAAGTTTTCATAGAAATGCCAAAAAATAATACAAAGGAGCCTTAGAAATTGTCCCAGGTAACAATATATTAGAAGGATAGTAGAATATAAGAAAGAAAGTCTTCACATACTTTTGGGGGAAAAATTACCTAACTTTTGTATTTTCTTACTTTCTCATACAGCTATATCTCTTCAGGATGATCCACCTGGTGGATATTTCTGGGCAGACAGAGGTTTTCTCTCAATGTGCAACACACTGCAGCTTTCCACAATGGTGGCATCAAGCCTTTTATAACTTCTTCACCTTCAGCTGCCTCTTTCTCATCCCTCTTCTCATCATGTTGATATGCAATGCAAAAATCATCTTTACCCTGACACAAGTTCTCCATCAGGAGCCCCGCAGTATGTATCCTTTTACATTGATGCTAATTGTGGTTGCAAGCAACTTTAAACAGCAAACCTGAGGCAGAATGACACTTGCTATGTATCAGATATTTACTATAGGGAGTTCTCTAATTATGTATTTACAATCACCCCACAAGGTAATATTTTTATTATACCCCCATTTACAAATGAGACCTGTTAATGACTTATGATTTGCATTTTTTTCATTAAAGAAAAAAGGACGATTATTCCACTAGAACCCAGGATAAGCACTGAAAAAACAAACATCTCATATCTAGAATATAGAAAAAGATGTTTTATCTCACATTCATAACATAGTGACACTCTGGAAATTATTTTCACAAAATAATATTTAACAGATTGGTGCAAGTGGCTCACATATGTAATTCTAGCTACTCAGAGGCTGAGATATGAGGATCACAGTTCAAAACCAGGCCAGACAGACAAATCTACCAGACTTTTATTCCCAATTAACCATTAAAAAGCCATTAAGAGGTACGATAGCTCAAGAGACAGAGGACCAGCCTTGAGCAAAAAACCTAAGGACAACTCCCAGGCCCTGAGTTCAAGCTCCAGTACTGGCACTTAAAAAAAAAGAATATATTGCAAAAACAGTATGCCTCTAAAATGGTATCTAGGAGAGATTTAGTTACATCAGAAATATCTTAAAAGAGGAATAAAATAGGAATTAATCTGAAGAATTATGAGCAGTGTCGAAGCAGAAAATTTTAAAGGCAGATAAAGGTGTGACAAATATTACTAATACACTTAGTGTTTTACTTGTCTTTTCAGCTAGCAGGAACTTTGTTGCTGGAAACTGTGCTTGGTGAGATACTAGTAGTAACTTAAGTCTAACAACTACTCTGCTTTTTTAGAACCTATAGTCTAGCAAGAGTAAACAGTAAACAATCTAGAATGAAGGCATTTCCAAACTGTCCAAAGCACTGCATGCTGTTTTTTCATATGCAATCACTTGCTGAGTCAAGATTTAATGTGTTCATTCCTGATTGTTACTGTTTTTTAAAAAAATGACTCTAATATTTACAAATATGGAGGATACATTGACTTTCTGTGTGTAATGTGCAAGACCCATAAAAAAGGCATGTTGGCAATGGGCATTATTTTTGTCTCACTGAAGAAACCTTTATTTATCCTGACTTACAAGTTACTAAAGGGAGATAAAGGTCTGAAGTGGAACTGACTCAGCTCTGATCATTTCTAACAGCAATCCTGGAGATTGTTAATTCCATGATGACTCTAAAGGAAGTATATTATAGAGGCAAACATTGGCTTCTAAGCAAATTAATTTTAAGTTGACTTTTAAAGAAATTGTTACTCTTTTCTTTTTGGGTCCAGTCATGGGGCTTGAACTCTGGGCCTTGGCGCTGTCCCTCAGCTCTTCAGCTCAAGGCTAGCGCTCTACCACTTGAGCCACAGCGCCACTTCCGGCTCTTTTTCTTTTTGCTTATGTGGTGCAGAGGAATCGAACCCAGGGCCTCAGGCATGCAAGGCAAGCACTCTACCACTGAGCCACTTTCCCAGCCCCAGAAATTGTTACTCTTAAGTTCACATTTAACTAGGAAACAAATCAAGTGTCTTCATATCTTAAGGTTTGTTTTTGTGTTGGGTAAGTCAGAAGAAATCTCACAGTGTCTGAAATAATTAATAATTCCAGGGAATTCAAATTGATATGTTTCTTACATTAACCAATCTGTTAAGAAGCTTGATGAAAATGATTTTTTAAAAATCACAGTGCCATCATTCTGTAGGATTTGTTTTAAATTGAAGCTTTAAAATAGTTAAGTAGTACTTGAACTGGAAAACTCTTTTTTTATATTTTTATTGTAGAAATACTGTACAGAGGGATTACAGTTTTATGAGTACGGTAATGCATACATTTTCCCCTACCATCTCTTTCCTCCCCACCTCCAAGTTGTAAAGTTCGTTTTCGACATAGTGTCTTGTACATCTCTTGTTGTTACAATGGGTGGACCTGTATCCTTATTTCAGCATTTTGTTATTTCCCGTTCCCTCCCCAAATCAGAAAAATGCATTTACAAGATGCAGGGCACTGACATCAAATACAGTGAAAACAGGGGTTATACCATGGGGAAGAACATACAAGAGAAACAAAAAAATCACACAGTACAATTCAAATACATTAAAAACAATAGCAAGAAAGAAAAAAAACATTTGTGTCCCTATCTTGGGATTCATTTCACTTAATATCACCTTATATGGTCCTATGTACATAGCTTTTGGCCTTTTCTGCTTGTCCTAGACTTATACTAGTTATTGCAAACAAGGGAAACCATGGGATCTATGTTTCTTTGGGCCTG